CTGTTTTTTTGGGGGGGGGGGTTATGAATCATCCGGCACCGTCCTGGACAAACACCCTCAACCCCAAACGCATTTATTTCTGTCCCTCTGACATGCGCTGGGCCTCCAACTTACTCTGTGTTCACACTGTCGACTGTCACACTGTAGTTGGTTCTCAAATCACTCCCTGGCTAACTGACATGCATTCAGGCAAATATTTAACCACAAGCGCCGATGCAGTTTCTCTACCGTGGTCTTCGACGTTAGCGAAGACGGTTCGCTAACGTCTTCGCTGCTAGCGTCAGCAGCTAAGACGCTAGCGTAACGTCTTTGCTGCTAAAGGTAGAGAAACTGCATCGGCACCGCTTGTTGATGAATATTTGCCTGAATGCATGTCAGCCTGGTACGCTTGTGTCGAAGTGTCCCATCTGGAACACATTACCAAATGAAATCAGTATATTAGCAGATTTACAAACTTTTACAGAAAAGTTAAGAACTGGCTGAAAGAAAAACAAGAAAGCACCCATCTGTCACATGTATAAGGTCTGACTGACTTTTTCCATTGGTGTTGTTGGTCTATTTTTACTGAAAAGCCCAACCAGGGCCGGGAGTTGAAAATGAGCTTAATGCTATACACTCTATATGTTATGCATCAGATGTTTTCTATATAAAATGCACGGTCCCTGTTCAAATAAATAAATGAATAAAAAACAGCATTTTTTTAGGACACTTGCGAGCTACATAGATTTGCTTACCTGCACAAACAATCCATCAAACAGCAAAAAACAGACCTCATAAGACCAAACCTGCACGTCAGCGAGCTTTTGGTAAATAACTGTGTGCTTCTTGTTTATCTTGTTGTGCTTGATAGCTCCAGCTGTCAACACTCTTTAATCTACAGTATATGTCACTGTTTTACTGTTTTTATGCACTAAAAGTCAATTCATTGTACGTGAAAACCTACTCGGCAGTAAATCTTTCTGACCGTGGTCCTGTCTTGGTTATACACAACATGTGATATGTCAGCATCAGCTGGTGGGAGGATTATCAGTGTTAGCTTCTCTGTGTGTTTTGCTCAAATCAACGCAGCAGATATATCTGGAACAAAGACAACAACCAATGATGCTTCTGGTGACGTGTTTGTCCTCTTTCCACAGGTGTCTTACTACAGTTTGGCTCCACACTTTCTGTTCGCTGTAAAGTCGAACACACTGGTAATGGGACGTGTTACAGAGTCCCCGAGTTCAATGGAACCAACTGTGATTACACCTGGAGCAACAGCACTGTAAGCTACAAGTCAGAGCTGCTCACTTGAGTGTTTTCTCATGTTTTTTCTGACATGTCTCTATCATGTCTCATCCAGATGGTTCTCATGACATTTCAACAGGAAAAGCAAATGGTCGCCTTGCAATATTCAGCTTTCTTTACTGTGTAGCGCTGATTCACAACAGATGTGACCTCAGGGCAGCGCACACAGTCAGGTTCAGAGTTACTGCAATTATCCCGGAGTGTTTATACAGTGTAATAAGTAGCATGTAGCAGAGGTGTTGCACATTATTGAGTGTTATCTCAAGAAGTGAAGTGAATTAAAACATAAGGAGTCCAGTCTGACTATTGGCTCAGAGAGTCTGGAGCTCTGAGGAGTCTGGCATTCTGTCGTGCATCTTGGCAGGATGAGTCTATGATGCATTCCTGTGGCTGACCAACAGGTCATTAAGTGACTGGGAGACATTGTTCAGGAATATTTTTTCCCACTTAGACATCATCCTGTGGTGTTTCCTCTCAGACGCCACTATCAAAGCTGTGTGTCAGGAGGCCACTGTGTTATATTAACCATCAGTCTGATTCTGCTTGTTGACTGTGTCGTCTTCCACATGTTGGCTTTAGAACCACGTGCTGGCTCATAGTCTGGTTGATGAGGTGAGCGAGCTGGTGGTGAAGAGGACCGACTCGGCTCTAGAGACCAAAGAGTGCGTAGAGAAGATCCGCTACAGACAAGACTGCCAGGTACGACACTGCTGACATGTTGAGACGAGGCCAAAGCGTATCAGAGCTGCATAACTGAAGAATCACCTCAAAGACAAAACACGTGACATTTCAGTGAAGTACTGAATCTGCTGAGCTCCACACAGTTACAATCTTTCTCCTCTTTTCTTTCTGTTTAGGAACAGACCCGTGAAGCGGTTTGTTACAGTGAGTATTTGTTTGCTAAATATGTGAAGGAAACCCTGAATGTTACCGTCTTAATGAATATAATAATGAATATAACCCTTCCTGGTTTTACTTTCAAGGAACACGTATGTTCGTTTACTCAGAATTCTAAAGGAAGAACTTTTTCTTTCAGCCTGCTGCACTGAACCTGAGAAAAATGCAGGTAGGAAACAAGTGCAAGTGGCAAATGATGTTGAGGTTTGTACCTGATAAGGGTTGAATGCTAAGAAGAATCCTGTGAAAACAGAGAGGGAATGAGACATGGAGGGATTTGAACCCAGCAGGGCAACATTAAGTGTGAATGAATAAAGTCTGAGGCTCTGTCCCACCCTCACCGTCTCTCTCCCGCCTCTTTTTCATGTTGAACTCGGTGTTTCTGGGAACCTGGTCCTCGGTGACTCCTCCAGCCACTGCTCAGCCGTTCGTCTACCGGGGCCCTGCATGCTGCTGCAGAGGACGCTGGTGGCGTCT